AGTCTCATCTGAGTAGGAACAGATGCGGCAATGGAGAGAGGAAGAAATGCTAAGCACAGGGGTTTTATTTTGGTCCAGAAATTGGCAAATTATATAAAGGGGTGATTGAAGAGTTCACAGAGCCAGAAACAAAACAAAACAGCCCTGAAATCAGAGGAGAGGACTTCTGGGAAGTGTGGGCCTATAGGTATGAAAAATACTTGACTAAATCGGGTTTGGGGGAGTCAGGGTTGCTTCCCTGCCTGGCTCATGTTCACTTGACAGGCTGCAGTCACCAGACGCTGGGCACTACTTTAATGCATCTACTTTCAGCTGTTATTTTCAGCAGGGTCTGTGTTTTAGTCACTCTTGATTTACTGTTTGACTTTTCTGATTGGGCTAAGACATTGGTTTAGTGCAAGCAAACAGCTCGGCAAGCTCTGGCTTGCTATGGACTTTTTGTTGGTGATGAGTAAAACCGAGGATTTTCCCAAGAAATTTAGGAGCTGAAGGTGGGACTAAAACACAACTCAAGATGACAGACTGTTTCTGACTCCAGTTTGGAGTAGGGCTGGTGGGAGGAAAAGGACCCAGTGTGCGTTTCTTGTTCCTTTTCCATATATCTAAAGTTTTTTCTATGTGTGTGTGCTCTTGTGCTCTCTTTTTAGTCACATGTAAAGAAATTTAACTGTTCTCAGTGTTTTCCTAATGTATGACAGTGTCTCCTCAACTCCTTTCTTTCTTTATACTCTTTCTGCTTTTTCTTTTTCTGTGACCTAAGCCTGAAAACCACATTCAACCCCTGTTAGTCACCGGTATCTTCCTCTCTGCTGCCCAGAGACCTTTGACTACAGCAGACTGCCATACAATACCTAACTCCATTATCCTGCATTTATCCGAGTTTACAAATTAAAGATGCCATGGACTGTGATAACACTTTCAGCTACAGATAGCTAAAGCTACAGTCCTAAGGTCATACAGACCTAAATACAACATGTAGGTGACATATTTAAGTTAGCCTTGAGTAACTTAAATAATGTCTTACCATCTGCAAATCTTGCTCCTCGCTCTGCTTTTGGGATTATTAATAAATGACGCTCCTCTGAGCAAACCCAGTTTGCCTTGCTAAAATTTGCCTGTTTATTTCTTTTCTTGATCTTTCCTTTTCGACTGCTCTTTAGCCAGTGGTAGTGATTACCTCTGGGTAACTTTGATTTTTTCAAATCTGATGAACCTAAAAGTTAATTTTCTATACTATTTTAGCTATATCCTCAGAGTTCTCAGACTAAGCAGCTGTTGGACCATGACAGTCCTGTTCCTGCTCCATTTCACCTCTGCGCTCTCTGCACCGCTATCACTCATTGCATTCCTGATACATTTAAATTACAAATTTATTAGAACAAATTCCTCTGTTCTTTCTGTTGTCTCAGTACAAAGCTTGGAATAACTTTGGATGCCCAACCTAATAAAAAATGGGACTGAAAACCTCTTTTCTGCCTCTTGCTTATGAATTTGCTTTTCTTGTTTATTATGTAAAAGGGCTACATCGTGGTTATGTTGTACCATTGTAATGAGCATCTGAGGTGAGGCTGGAGGTTCACTGGCAAAGCTGTGGGCCGAGGAGGGGAGAGTAGGAAGGTTTGCTGCTCTGCCCTGCGGTGCTTTCAGCAGAGCACGTGGGGAAGGCTGCGCTGGCTTCGCTTGCCTCCAGCTGTGCTCCTGGCCGCTCTGCTGGGAGTAGGAAAGCCAAGCGGGTGACAAGAAGCAAGCTCTGCAAGGACACACAGCAAGAACCACTTAATGTGACATTTGCTCTCCTTGGAATAATTTGTCCAAAGCTTTTTTTTTTTTTGCTTGCATGGGATATATGAACATAAAGGCACCAAAGCTGAGTGTCTGCCTTTGCTCCTGGCAGTAGTCAGGTGGATAATTCAGCGGACAGCATCAGTAACCTCTGACAGCGTTCCACAAAGTAAATACAACCCAGAGGAACTTCACTTTTTCATTCTCTGACCCAAATCTTTGTTTCAGGAATACAACATCCTACAGACATGTCATTGCTCCCGTTTATCCAAGTGAACTTTGAGCTGTGTGTTTAGTGCTGGAGGAGAGCTGACCACTAGCATGCAGCCAAGTCCATGTTTTAAAGCTTGTGCTGAGTAATGTTTGTACAGTGCAGATAACGCGATGTTAATTAAATGAACTGTAGATCGTAAGCGATCTCCAGGCAGGAATCTGTCAGAGTGGTGCGTTGCTAATGTAGTGGGAAAACACGAGCTGACTTATGAACTGTGTTTCCCCATGAGGATGAAAACAAACATCACTTTTGGCTCTTTGAGATGTTTTGGCTCACATTGAGATGTTTTCACTTTGTGGTGTGCCATGTCATGACAAAAACCATCAGAAGCCAACCCAAACGAAACCCGAAACTGGTTCATCCTCCAGGCGCCCACCCTGGCATCTCTGGCTGGGCCGGGCACTGCCCACACGCGCACAGCCTCCCCCAGGACACAGTTCTGGGTCAGTCCGCCTCCTGGTCCATCACTTCGGTTTATGCGCAGGAGCCTCCCCTGCACCGGGCGGCCGCTCGGCGGGGCCTGGAAATGGCGGGGGGCGGCGGCCGTGGGAGGGGGTCGCGGCCCCTCCGCTGCGGCGCGGGCAG